CTCAGGCCACTTTTCTCTGGCCAGGCCACACCCAGCACACGGTCCATTGATGGACCCCACACGCGCAGAGGGATGGCAAGCCTGCCACATCTGAGGCACCGGGCCAGGAGATGCACCATAGGACACACCCTTTTCTGCTCCAGAGAGAAGCATAGCAGCCCTGTGCATGCAGCGCCTCTCACATCTCTCCACTGATTAAGCTCCTTCTCTACCTTCCGAGTCACCTCCTCCAGGAAGGCTTCCCTGATCTTTTGGTCTAGGTCAGGCCCCAGGACCTCTCTCTCTCTCTCTCTCTCTCTCTCTCTCACACACACACACACACACACACACACACATACACACACACACACACACACACTCACCACTTATCACAGCTGCAGGTACTGAATCATTCACTAGTCAAGTACATTTCACTAGTCAAGCACATAGCCCTTTAAAGTCTGCCTCCCCGGGAAATGGGAGCTGCAGGAGGCCAGGCATGTCCTGTTCAGGGCCATCTTCCCTGAGTGGCCCAGCCCTGATATTATAAACATAAAATAAATACCTCCTGAATGACTAAAGGTGAAAGGAAGAATGGAGGAAGGCAGGAAGGGAGGATGTTGAATATGGAAAAAATATATAGCATTAGATGAGCCATGAGAATCATCTGCAAAAATTACATGGCCACACTATGGAAGAAGAATTTGGCTTCTTCCTGAAGAGAGGGAAGGCAGAATCGAAGGGAGGGGATGGAGCCAGATGGATCTGGGCTCTGTGATAAGGAAACCTCAGCCAGAGCACCCAGCATGGTGTAGGCTCTGGGAAAACAGGAGGGGGAGTGTCTTGTGTCTGGAAGTTATCTCCCCATGGGGCCAGTCAGCATCGCAGGGAAGGTAAGTGTGGGGTGATGGGTAAGAGGTGTGTGGGCATGATAACATTCACAAAGAAAGGAGAGGGCGGGTCTGGGTGACCTGGAACTGTCTCTTTCTCACTCTTGATCTTTTTTTTTAATCTGAGAGAGTAGCAAGAAGTGGGCCCATTTTAAAGATCGAAGAACAGAGTCCAAGAGCGTTGTGATGAGTGAAATAGCTGGACTGGTCCCAAGACCTTGGCTTCCCCTCCCCCGCCCTGAGCTCTCTCAAGCCCTTGGCCACGTCAACACAGGGGAACTGGGCTTGGAGACAGACTTATGGCCCCTTCCTAACCCCTCCCTCCTGACTTGGGGACCTTCCTTATGTGCTCCATCATGTATACCCTCTGTTGGACAGTCCCAGAGGAAACCACTTCGGCAGCTCCCTGGTCTCTACCCGTGACAGATGCAAAGAACTGCACCTGTAATGGTAGAATCTCAGGCCCGCTAATCCTCCGGGAAGGAAGTACTAGGGCTGGAGTCCTGGCCTCAGGCCCCTCCAGACAGGATGGGGGAGAGCGGGTGTGGGTGTGAACGTGGGCCTGGGTACTTTCCCAGCATCAGGGAGGCAGCTGCCACCCACTCACTCTGGCCGCACAACAAGCATCCTTCCAGGCCCTGCTGAGCCACCCCAGGAATTTTAAATGTCCCCCTTGTTCCACGCAGACCTTGTTTTGAGTGACAGTCAAAGCTGCCTTGAGAGCGGCCGTTGGCAATGTCTCACACACAGTGGCATTTGAAGGGTGGGAAAAATCTCTGTGTTCAATGCCAGCCGCTGCCACCGTCTCAGCTTCTAGGTCCTGCCTCCATGCCAGGGCCTCGGCAGCTTTGTCACCTGCCTGCCCACATGCACCGAGAGAGAGAGAGAGAGAGAGAAAAAAAAAGAGAGAGAGAGAGAGAGACTGCAGGTCACCAAGCCCACGACCACCAGCCACTCTCACACCCACTGCCACCTCCGTCGTCATGGCCACGGGCAGCAAACACACTGAGAGTCACAGGGGAAGGAAACACCGCAGCACATGTCTAATGAGCTCGTTAAACAAGAGCATAAATAACTGCTCCCATCAGAGTAAGAGAGCTTGCGGCGGAGAGTGGGCACTGACTGAGGAGCAGGGCCATGATGGGTGGCAGGTGCTGCGCTGAGAGGGAGATGGGGCTGCTCTCCACTCCCGGCTGTGGGCTGTGGGCTGTGGGCTTCTCGAGCCAGACAGATGCAGGTCTAAACATTCTGCCGGCAAAACCTTCACCGGCTGCTTTGATCTTTACCTGAGTCCTTCCTGCTCCTCACAGGCCCCGCCCTGACCTCCTTCTACTCCTGCTCTCATAATGAGCCTGAGGGGGAAGATTAGAGGGGCCTTCTCCCACTTTATGGATGTGGACAGGAAGGAGCAGGAGGGTCTCCATAGGTAAGACCCCTGCAACGCCCAGTAACTGGTGTCCCTGCTTCCACTTCTCTGCCCCTGCAGTCCGTTCTTCATCCAGAGCCAGAATCTTCCTTTTGAGCACATCCTGCCACTCTCCTGTGTTCAACCTCCTACTAGCCCCCATTTCATTCAGGATAAAATCCCAGGCCTCCTCATGGCCTACAGGGCCCTGCATGATCCAGCCCTGTCCATTATTTGACCCTCATTTCCTGATATTTTTCCTCCAGATGCACTGGATTCCTTCCTGCTTCTCCAACAGGAGCAGCCTGTGTCCACCCCAGGGCCTTTGCACATGCTTCTTCCCCTGCCTGGCTCTTTCTTTCATTCCATCCAATGTCACTCCTCAGAGGGACCATCCCTGATCACAGATATAAAACAGTAGACCTCCCCTCCCCCTATTCTCTGTCTCCTTACATGAATTATTTTTTTAGTGGCAGGATAGGGTCTGGACCAGAGCCTATCCCAAAGCAAACACTCAATACATATTTGTCGACTGGGTAAATGAAAACCTAGCTACCAGAAGTCAAAGTGTGGTCGGCGCCTAAGAGCATCCGGTTCCAAATCCAGAGATTTTTCCTCCACAGATGACGCCTGCCCTCATAACTCGACCCTGACGCCCCACGGCCACAGAGGGAAGCCTGCGGTCAGGACGGAGCACTGGCTGCCAGCTCCAGTCCTAACACCTCCAAGCTGTGGGGCCTCCTGAGTCACGGCCCCCACCCCCACCCCCGTGGCTCAGAGTCCATGTCTGTCGAGAGGCAATACCACACCTCACAGAGTTGACTTGCCAACTAGAAGAACACACAGAATGCTTTTAAAGCAATAACTGAGGTGTAGGAAGGGCTCCATGAGTATAGCTATTTAGTTTGACATTCAAAGCCACCCACAGGCTGCCCTCGCCCATCCTCTCTGAGCAAGACTCCTATCATTTCCCTAGACCAGAGGTTCTCAAAGTGTGGTCCCCAGACAGACAGCATCTGCTCAGTGATGAGAATAGCAGCAACTCAGACCCCACGCCACACAGACAGAGCCAGAAACCCAGGCATCTGTGCGATAATAAGTCCGCCAGGTTGCAGGTCATGCTCAGGCCTAAGCACTATGCCCTAGAGCAGGGGTGGGCAAACTTTTTGACTCGAGGGCCACAATGGGTTCTTAAACTGGACCGGAGGGCCGGAACAAAAGCATGGATGGAGTGTTTGTAGAAACTAATATAAATTCAAAGTAAACATCATTACATAAAAGGGTATGGTCTTTTTTTTTTTTTAGTTTTATTCATTTCAAACGGGCGGATCCGGCCCGCGGGCCGTAGTTTGCCCACGGCTGCCTTAGAGGTAGCTAGCCTTTCCACCAGGTAAGCCAGGTGTGGGAGACAGCTGGTGCGCCTGCTTCTTCACTCCCTGTAATAAAACGGTACCAGATGACATAAATGGCCTGATGGGGTGAGAGGTACATGCCCTGCCTCTTAACTTCGGGCTTGGCCATGTCACTTACTTGGGCAACTGGGAGTGAGCGACATGATGCCAGCAGAGGCCTGGCATTGGCTTGTTCAGTTGGGCTCACCCTCCTACGTTCCTGCTGTCACCAATAGAAGAACATACTCCGCATAGCCACGCCCCTCTGGCTAGGCTCGGAATGAGAAGCACAGAGAAGATCTAAACAGACCTGGAGCCGGGAGCCCAGCCCAGCCCAGCCAAGCCCAACCAAGTCCAGTTGAACTCCAACCAACCTGCAGACCCGCAAATAAGAAAATTAAATATCAGTGGCTGTGAGCTACCTAGATCTCCTGGTTGCTTGTCATGCAGCATTATTGTGGCAGATCCCGACCAGGCCTGTTCCTTTCTGCCTCTGCCTCTTTCTTCTGCCCAATGCAGCCACCTCTTCCTCTGCCTTCCAAACCCCACTGGCATGCAGGACACAGCTTACAGTCCACCCGACCTGGGCCAGGAAGCCCCAGAGCATACCCCTCCTGCCCAGGCCTGTGAATTAGCTTCACTCAGCCTATGAAAAAGCTCACCCGAGTGGAGTTCACCAAGCAATTCATTTACATTTTAACCTTTTAGGTGGCTAATTACTCAACTGAAAAGCCCTTTAACTTATTACCATCACTAGCTAATTAGCTAGTTAGAGGTTAAGTGTTAAATAGTTCCCTGTGATGTTTAATTTCCGACCACTTTATCTTCTTTTCGATGCATTGGAAGTTGCTGCCCACATCTGGATCCGTTCTCCCACCCACGGCATCAGCCCTGCAGCCACAGAGCACGTGGGAGTCCATCCCCACAGCCCGCCCCAGCTCGAAATAGCTCTCCTTCGTAAATAGTTAATGAGCACATCCACCCATATCGCACCTCTCCGTGGCCGGCTCTCACCCTGGGCTCGCCCATCCCTCTGTGGTTTTGTGCGAGTCTGCCCGCCTACCCCCCACCCCGGAGACAATGAAGATGATGGACTTTAATTGACTTCACGTCCTGAACCCTTCTGTCACCCACCGGGTGCCCAGTCCCATCGCAGGTTTAATTGGCAACAACGTACACATCCCTCTTGGCTGCTCTGTGTCTCCGGATGTGAGAACAGAGCCCTGGGAGAGGCAGAGGAGCAGCCTGGACCGGCATCCTTTCCCACTGGCCTCGGTGCCAGGTTGGGACTGTGCAGCAGGTGCCAAGAAACGTTATGACTGGCGCTTTTGCCACAGCTCAGTGGTGGCTGCACACCCCCAACACCCATCCTCCTCCCCTACCTTCCAGCGGAGCGCTGATTATACTTGGGGAGGCAACATGCCTGAACAAAGGACCCCGTCTCAGCCTCCAGTGCAGCTGGAGGAAGTGCAGGGAGTGGGAAGCAGACCCTGGGAGGCGCCTGAAGGGGCTGGACCCTCTGGGAGAGCGAGCCTGGTTCAGTCTGGGTTCCCCAGAGGCAGACATTGAGATGAGGATTCCAGGATCAGTGGTTGATGTGGGGAGGTGGACTCAGGACCCGCTGGTAAGGGCATGAGGACGGAAACCCATACCGGCTGTTTTGCTAAGCCAGTTGCCATTGTGGGCAAATGGGGTTCAATTCCCCTGGGACCCTCTGGGAGACAGCACAGAACATGGCTCATTGTCCTCCTCTTTCTTCCCCGCAAGGGGAGGAAGCGGGAGTATTAACTCTCCATCTTCCTCTGTCATAGGCTGGGGCTGCTCCTGGGGACATCAAGTCCTCCTGTGGGCTGGGCAACACAGAGAAGGTCCCCGAGTGGGAGTAGTGAGCCCCACTTAACGACGGTGCAGTTGACCCGCAGAAGGAGCCTTGGTCCCTGGAGTCCACAGAGAAATCATAAATTACCTCCTGCTGGGGTTGTGTCACATGACAGAAACCTACCCCCAGACGTGGCTAAGGGTTTGTAGTCAGATCTCTGCTGCTGGAAACACCTCACACTTTATAGGCAGGACAGTTACCCCCTTCTGCAGGTAAGAAGCCTGAGGCTCAGAGACGCAAAGGACAGGGAGGTAACAGCAGCTCCTGTCTGGAACCCTTGATTCCGTCCTCCTTGTACAGGTCTGCTTTGGAGCTACTGCGGGCTTGGTTCCAGACCAGTGCAATAAACCGAGTCGCACGGGTTTTTTGGTTGGACTCAACATCTTCCAAACTTCTGTTACTGTTAATGTTTCCGTCTCTTCCCATGATTCACACATGGGCTCAATGGCATCTAGAATGGTAATTTCTTCCAGAGGTTTTCAATTTACTTTGCTCAGATCCATCAGAGGAATCACTATCTGTGGCAGCTGTAGCCGTACGAAATGTATTTCTTAAATAAGAAGACTTGAAAATCAAAATTACTCCTTGATCCATAGGCTGCGGAATGGATGTTGTGTTAGCAGGCATGAAAACAACATTCATCTCATTGAACATCTCCATCGGAGCTCTTGGCTGCATTGTCAATGAGCAGTAATATTTTGCAAGGAATCTTTTTTTTCTGAGTACTAGGTCTCCACAGTGGGCTTAAAATATTCAAGAGACCATGTTGTAAACAGATGTGCTGTCATCCAGGCTTTGTTGTGCCATCTATAGAGCACAGGCAGAGTAGATTTAGCATAATTCTAAGGGCCCTATGGGTTTCAGATGGTCAATGAGCACTGGCTTCAACTTAAAGTCATCAGGTGCATTAGTCTCTAACAAGAGAGTCAGCCTGTCCTTTGAAGCTTTGAGGCCTGGCATGGACCTCTCCTCTCTGGCTAGGAAAGTCCCAGATGGAAGTCCAATAGTACCGGGGTTCTTGTTCCAGCATCTAAGAAGGGTTCAGCAATCTGGAAAAGGCTGTGCGTAGACTAAATAGGAGTCCAGAGACGAAATATAATTTTGAAAGGCATTTGGGGGTCAGAGGAGCTTAGCTTAAAGGAAACTAAGATCTAATTTTTAAGGTCTAAGTTCTCAGGTCTCCTCATCCCAGGACCCCATGCTTTTTATTAACACAAATTGTCCTGAGGCCAGGTGGAGATAAACACTTCAAAGGGTATACACAAGCATTGTCAGAATGGGGGAATTAGCCTACGGGCTGTTCAGGTGTTTGGCCAGTAGGAGGCAATAACATGTAGATTGAGATGCCCTTTAGCTGTCTGGCAGCCAAGCAATCATTTTAATGTATCCTATTCAGGTTTGGGGAAATGCCTTCAGCCATTTCCAACAGGTGACTACATGTGTGTCTCAACCCTGTTGAGTCCCCAAGTTCCATCAACCTTTTGATGAAACTCTTGCAATTATGACATGATGCTGGAATTGGTTTCTGGCACAATAGAAGGCTGGTCCGTCTACATTGGAAACCTGTGGTTTCGTGTAGCCACTTCATTGGTTATCTTAGCGGGATCTTCTGGATGACTTGCTGCAGCTTCTACATCAGAATTTGCTGCTTCTCCTTGCACTTTTATGTAATGGAGATGGCTCTTTCCTTAAACCAACCCCTGCCAGCTTCAGACTTTTCTTCTGCAGCTGCCTCACCCACCTCAGCCCTCATAGAATTGAGGAGAGTTGGGGCCTTGCTCTCCGAATTAGGCTTTGGCTTGAGGGAATGTTGTGGCTGGTTTATTTGATCTTCTCTCCAGACCACAAGACGTTCTCCATCTCAGCAGTAAGGCTGTGTCACTTGCTTACTGTTCACTGGAGCCGCACCTTCAGTTTCCTTCAAGAACTTGCCCTTTGCATTCACAACTTGGCTAATTGGTGCAGAGGCCTAGCTTTGGGCCTATCTTGGCTTTTAACACGCCTTCTCCAGTCAGCTTACTTATTTCTGGCCTTTGGTTTAAAGTGAGAGACACGTGACCTTTTCATTTGAACACTTAGAGGCCATTGTGAGGATATTAATTGGCCTAATTAATAATAATCAATATAACTGAGTCTCAGGGATTAGGGAGGCCGAAGGGAAGGGAAAGAAATGGATGAACAGCTGCTCGGTGGAATAGTCAGAACACACACAACATTTATTGATTGAACTTGCCATCTTTTATGGGTGCGGTTTGTGGTGCCCAAAACAATTCTGATAGTAACATCGAAGATCACTGATCACAGATCACGATAACATAATAATAATGAAAATGCTGAAATACTGTGAGAATTACCAACATGCGACACAGACACAGGAAAGGAGCAGATGCTGGTGGAAAACTGGCGCCTCTGGACTTGCTCGAGGCAGCGTTGCTACAGACCTTCCACCTGTGAAAAGCACAGTGTCTGCAAAGCACAATAAAACCATGCCGTCGCCATCACCCCGGCTCGGCTGGGCATAAGGAAAATGGCTCCCGCAAATACATGCACAAGATGCTTGTGTTTCCCACACTTTATCTCTTGGGTGACAACCCCACTGGGAGAGGTTTATTTCAATGCCGCAGATGGCACAAAGCCTCAGAGAGGTGAGGGGGCTAGTGCATGGTAGAGCGGGGACTAGAATCCGACCTCCGGATTCTCCTCTCGCCAGAAGTCCAGAGACCAAACCCCAGCTGTGGGATGTGCAGGGTCCGCCCACCAGTGCTCCCACATACCTGCCTCCACTGGTGTGTGGTACAGTGGCATGATGTTGAATGCATGCAAGAATCCCTGGGGTGCTTTAAAATGCCGGGTGCTCCGGCGGGCGCCACCCCAGGCTGATCGGGGTCTCCCGGAGGGAGCACACAGCTCTCCCCAGGGATTGCAGTGGGAAGCTGCAAAGCCAGGCTGGGAAATGCCGGGCTTGGTCTCAAAGCCTGGCTTCAGCCCTTGCCCACCCAGGTCCACTTGAGCTCTACTGAGGCTGCCAGGAGCTGGCTGCCTGGAACACGCTCAGAAAAGTCTAGTTGCCAGAGAGTGTTTGCTGTCATTCTGATGGCCGCCACCACAAGCCCTGACCCCCAAGTCCCAGACACTCCTCCCCCAGGCCCCTCTCTGTAAACCTTCCTTGGTGTTTTTCTGGTTTGAAACAAACACTATCCCCACCCCACCTGCACACTAACCAAACATATACAAAGTCAACTGGGGGCCGGCCCTCTGGTTCTCCCCTACTCGAAGGAAGCAGCCACATTTCAGAAGAAAGGCAGGCCCGATGCACACTAATCCCTTTGCGCTGCTAATTATTTCTATCTTGGGAGCTGTCTCCCGCAGAGCTTTCTGAGAATGATGAGGAAATGACAAGTGGAGAAATTAGTCACCTCTAAACAGACGCCCTGAGGCTTTTGAATCCGAGTAGTGTCATCTTCTTGTGCAGAGCAAGAGGGCAGGAAGAGAAGGTAGTGCTACAATTTGTAGCACCCCTGGGAGGCACCCCTTAAAAACGTCTCTCCTAGACACAAACCTGCTGAGTTTTGAAATCCCACCATTAGAGATTCACTTTCTTGGGACCTACCGAGTTCCCAATTGAGCTACAGCATTTATGGAAGGGGTTGCACCTTATCCCTGGATCTCTTAAAACCCTCTCAGATCATTTTCCTGGTTGACAGGAAAATGGGAGTAAGGCGTTGAAGAATGCGCCACACGAGGCAGCCTGGAGAACAGCGACAAGAACAGGGAAGGGAGAGGGGGTGGTCTCCTAATCACAGTAAGTACTTATATGTACTTACATTATCCAGTCCTTCAGAGCTGACTATGAAAGATGTACCTTCAAATACCTGAGCCCATTCAGTTTATACCGAAATGTGTGAAATAGGCAGAAAGGAATCTCTGCTCCCACCTTACAGATGAGAAAATGGAGGCTGAGAGCAGTGACATGATTCACCCAGGGCACAAGGACGAGTAGATGGTGGAGCTGGGTGCAAACTTGAATTCTAGGGCTGCTGGCTGCCTCCCTTTTTCTCTATGTCTCGGGCAGTGTCTTATGCCTACCTTAAAAAAAATCACATTTCCCACCTTCCTTGCAGACAGGGGTGGCCGATTAGACGTGAGACAAAGTTATTGGTAGAGCTCCTGAGAGTCCCCTCCCCTTCGCCCTGTTGCCCTTCGCTGTCCATAGCTCCTGATGTGCAGGAATGAGATGCGATCGCTGGAGCTCCAGCAGCCCCTTTTACACTGTGAGGTGACCGTAAGGACAGGAACTGATCAGAAAGGTGGGTCTCCTGGGGGGTCATGCTGCCCAGAAGACGAGATCTAAACTCTCTCCCACTGGACGTCTTTCCCCTGAGAGACATGTACGCTGTGAGTGTAAGTCACGCTAGGCTTCCCCCTCTGCCTCCAGGCCCTTTCTCTGTGAGGCCTCTGACAGCATGGGTTGCACAGCGGCTCGCCAGATGAGACATGCAACCCAGGGATCCTCACCCCGACCGTCTTTTCTGCCAGCTGGTCCCAGGGGACTAGTTCTGAGTGGGACCCAGGGTACTCACTGGCACCCCACTCCCCTTTTCTCTAACGTCGCTGGAACTTAAAAACGTGAGTGAAGCAACTCAAGCTGAAAGAGAAATCCCATCAGACTCCCAGTGGCCTCGCCCATCTTCCCCAAGGAGAAATGACAGCTAGTGCCTCAGCCCGAGCCGTCAGTCTTCACAAAGCCTCGTAGGGTGTCAGTGGGATGTGCTCCCAGCGCGGCACCTGGATTGGGAGACTGATCTCCAGTCAGTGTTGTAGAACCTTAGGAAATCAACTCAGTTCATGTGAGACTTAGTTTTACCAACCATGCAATGGGCATGCTGCCATATTTGCCCTGTCCATCCCCATCTGTGGATGCCAAGTTCCAATATCAAACAGTATGAAAGAAAAACACCTTAGAAGTATTAGAAAAATAAAATCCAAGGCAGGCTGATTTTGATTTTGGCTCCAACCACAGAACTGCTAGGGAGTTTCCCTTCCCCGCCCCCCCATCCACCCCGATTTCCGCCTTTATAGCTTTGCCTTCCTCTGCCTGTGGAGGCTCAATCCACCCTTTCAGTAGAAGTTGAGATGTCTGGGGAAGTATCGGAGTCAAAGAATCTTCCCAAATAGGAGCAGGTCCTGGACCTGGCCTGCCCCCTCCCTTAGGAACACCTGTCCCTATCCTTTCTCCACGTATCCATAAGATCCCGGGTTCATCGGTAAATTTCCCTCCATCCCATGGAAGAGATGTACAGTCAGATCTCAGTTCTCAAACGTCTCCCATCTCAAACAGTTCAGTGCTCGAACAAATGGTTCACGGAAAAATGTATCAGTTGTCAAACAAAACTACAGTTCTTGACCTGACAACCCTTTCATGCCGATACCTGTATGATCAGTCACACGTCTCTCAGGGAACAAAGGAGAGAACGCGTGAGTATGAGTCAGGTTACTGCTAAACCTCGCTTTACTAACAACTCAGAAAATTGTGCTATGAATATTTTTGGTTTTTGCTTATGTTGCTGCTTATTATTATTATTAAACTAGAGGCCCAATGCATGAAATTCGTGTATGAGTAGGCCTTCCTTCCCCCAGCTGCTGGCACCGGTTTCCCTCTGGCACCTGGGACCAGGGCTTCCCCCACACCCTCCTGGCTTTGGAAGTCTGGTCTAATTAGCATATTGCCTTTTTATTATTATAGATACATACACCACGGATCCTAAGGAGGTTAGTGGTAGCAGCAAAGTGAAAAGGAAAGTTGTATGAACGATAGAAATAATTGCGAAGTATGAGAGA